AATTTGTTGGGCAAGAGATTGCTGATTAAAAAGTTTATTTGAGTGGTTTGGAAAATAATGCACTCAAGGTGTTTGACATGTGGGACAGAAGAAAGTCATATTCCACTGGAATAAGTAATTATGACTAAGATTATATAGAGAAATCTTGGGATATAAATGGAGGGGCATTAGGTCACTTTGAATTATTCAAATTGATTTTGATTATATTAGTGTTGAAGGGAAATTATTTTTACTTATAGACAATTTATTAAGATTATTATATATAAATTTGTTTTAGGATGTTGGGAGGAAGAGAAACTTAATAGGAGTTGCAATTAAAGGAGTGAGTTTTAGTACATGAGAATACTGCAGGTAAGTGGATAACGTCCCAATCAATTTATATATTTAAAAATTTTCTTTTATCAACTATTATTTTCAATAATTTACAATCATGAATATATGTCACTCTAGCATTGATTAATGTGGTTGATTAAATTTCTTTAGCTCTTGAAGTTATCATGATTATACTTATAAGATTGGCAGAAACATTTTTATAAATTCTAGTACTTTTTTATTCAATAAAGACAATCATGGAAATAGGTGAAGAAGTTTATGGAACGTTAGTTGTGAATTTCATATTTTAAAGGGATTGATATTTTAAACAGTTATTGCGAGTTTGACATTGAAAAAAGGAAAAGTTTATTTTGAAAGTGATGATTTTCTGGCATGTTTGAAATAAATTTCAAGGAGACTTTTTACAGAATACTGATTGCTAACAGCAGTTCCGTTAGCCCTTGGCGCTCCATGGTTCACCTAGCTAGCAGGGTGCTTATAGGAGGTGCTAGCCCTGTGCGATGGCCAACGCACGTGGAATGGAGCGATGGTTATTTGTAAGCATCGTACTCACGTTTGATTCGTGGCTTTAAGTCGCATTTGTTTAGCATTACCCTCGTGGACTATGTGTCCATGTTTGTTTCGTAGCTCAAGCTGCGTTTGGTTTTTACCCTCATGGACTATGTGTCCACGTTTGTCTTTGTGGCATAAGGTCACGTTTGGTTATTACCCTTATGGATTGTGTATCCACATTTGTGAATTGTTCTGATAAATCTCCAGGAATATGAATTTTTAATTAATTAATGATTTCATACTCTAATTGTTTTAAAATTGTAAATGTTACTTATTTATTTAATTTATTTATCTTGTCAAGATTAAATGTCGAAGTTGTTTTGTCATTGAAGATCTAAAGGCTCATGATATGAAGTTCCATATAAATTTTTTATTCTAAGTTTACTAATTTTATTATATTGAATCGTTTTCCTCTTTAACCTCCATAACTATTGCAAATTATTCATTCTTATTTCCTTTAATATTGTGATTGAGACGTTATTCATTGGAAAGTATTTGGTTTGGTCTCAGATAGTGTAGCTGGCATTGTACGTCCTACTAACCATTGAGGGACTCAATTGTTGATTTGGACTTGAAGATTTATCTATGAATCTCTTCTTTTTGGTGTAAACAATTTATTATGCTTTATGCTTTGGGAACTTAAATTAGTAGCTTCACATTAACTATAGATAGAATTTGATATGTTATTCATTTGTCTGGAGGAGCAGAGCTCCGCATTCCTAAATGGGTTGTATGTGGCTATTTTAGAGACTTCAGGAGGTCTTATTTGGGGACATTTTGCCGAATTTGTTTTATACAAAGTTTAGGAATCGTTTTGTTTATATGAAAATTTTATAATGATTTCTCATCCTATTTCAAATGAATTAAAATGTTATATTAAAGTTTCATAGTCTAGGCTTAAGGGATGTATGTTTGGACATATATCTCGTGCCGGTCACATCTAATTTTTGGGGTGTGACACAATGGTGCAAACTTTGTTGATAGAAATAATCTAATTGGGAAAAAGCCTAGTGGAAATATTTATGTGTGTGTGTGTGTTTACTATATTTATCATTGTTTGATTATTTTTTTGACTCCTATAAAATGGCCATCAATTAATATAATATCATATAACATTCTTGTTTCGTTCTATCATTATCTTGCTTTTATTCTCTCCAAGATCAATTTAGTGCTAAATGATTGATTAGAGTCTTGTAACTATTATATCTTTCTTTAATGTAATTTTAGTTGTTCACTTTTAAATTGAAACAGGGTGAAATTCCATTGTCTCTCTTTAGCATTTCTTCTCTAAGAATTGTGGGTTTTAGCGGAAAACAAATTGAATGGTAATCTTCCAATACTAACCAGCAATGAGACGTTGCTAGAAATATTACATCTACAGTTCAACTCCTTCACAGGTATTCTCAATCTGTCCATCCATTACTTTTATTCTTTAAAAAACCTTTTCATTTATTATTATGCTTATTATTCTATATTGTTTAGCAAAAATTTTTAATGAAACCACTTTAAGAGTAAAAATTATTGTATACTTATACGTTTTAATGAAATGCAATTCATTTTTCTTGACAACTAGCTTTCGAATTTTTATGTCAATAAAAGTTGTAGCACACATGGCTCTTACAAAAATGCATTTAATGTTTACATGAGGGAGTTGCCAAAAAAGGTTATTGTACATTATTCTATTAATGTTAATTCCCTAATTAACAAATTTCCATGTATTATTTATATCACTGTGTTAGAATTTGAGAATTGCCAGTCTTATGCACGCTAACAACAAAAACATTTTCTCTTTGTTAGGTGGAATTCCTTCATTTATTTTGGAACATGTCTTCATTGAAAAAGTTTAACCATGGTGCAAATCATTTAAATGTAATTTGCCCCAAGAATTGTGCCATCAACTCCCTTTACTTGACCTTTGATGTTGGCTAGTAATCAATTAGAGGGAAGCATTCCAAAATCAATAAGTAAATTTGCACATCTTTAAAGGATTGTATTGGGGTGATAACTCATTTACACAGGTATGTATAGTGTACTTATATTTATGTTTAATTTTTTAATCTCTTTTCTTGAATGGAGTGAATCTAAAATAGGATTTTGTTTTCATCATTTCGTTCATAATTTTTTGTTGTACATTCATATTGAAATGGGGTAAATCTAAAATTCCATTACTTTTGTTCTAAAATTTTATGGGTCTCCTAATAACTTTAATTTTAAATTTTTTTCTCTCCCTTATTGAAAAAGACATTCTTTATCTGTTTAAATTATCCATTTTAATTTTTTCAATATTTTTATCTTCCAAATTCATTAAATCTTCTGTGGCTAAAAACGAGTATTACTTAAAATTATTTTTATTATATTTAAGATAACTTTTAGACTTATTCTTGAACATACTAGATTTAATAATAGTTTGATAATTTTGTATGACAGAGTAAGTTTTATATTTACATAACATCAAAATACAGACAAGTTTGGAATTATATTTTTCTTATTCATTATATATAAACAAAAAATATTTGTTGGTAAAAAAACAAAAATATTTAAATATGTATGAGAATCAATTACGAATTATAATAATGAAGTAAATAAAAAATTTAAATGCCACCCGAAAACACTAGTTCCACCATATTTGAGCTGAAAGCCTAAAACTAATGAACCTAAATACGAGATATTTTCAATAGTCAACAAACAATTAGAGTGCTTTCATTTAATGCATTTGGGTTTTAAAAGGGAACTATTCTACATGTTTCGTCGAAATTAAATAATACTATTCAAATTGAAATTTTTCATATAATAATTTTTGGACAGTTATTTAATTATAATTAAAATAAGTATCCAAAATACACACACACAAAACATATGACTCATTATATATGATGTGGAACCTTTTCTTCTGTTGAGAAAATATACTTGATAATTTCTCACTTTAACTATACCAAACCGAAAAATTAAAGTAGTTAATGCTTTTGCCACACATGTTTAATTAATAACGCACAAATATTCAAATTTCTGGAATTAGCAACAGATGTGTCGTTTTTTTTTATAGTATATATGTATATTATATGCAAAGTTATATACCTGTTTTATTTATCGTTTAATTTAAAGTCCGTACTGTTATGAAAATGTTATTACCTGTGACTTTTATATGATATATGCATCTTATGTATATTATATGCAAAAATTATGAGCGGTTTTATTTTTTCTTTTTACAAGTCCATTCAGTCTTTTTATTAGAGTTGATGCTTATAAATTATATTTGGATTCCGACTTCTTCACAAGCATGAGATTATATATCTTCTATTTATTATTTTCTTGGTTTTTTTTTGTCTCAGAATAAATTTAAAATGAGATTTTGTTTTTCGTCATTTCATTAATATTATAAGTATGTATTCTTTTTATAAGCATGAAGTGGGGACTTAATGTAGCTAGTGATTAACAATCCCAAATAACAATAGATTTGATGGTAGTCTATGATTTTCTCTTTTTCCCCTCTTAGATCATTCTTTCTAGAAGAGAGAAATTAAAATGAGATATATTTTATTTCATCATTAATATTGTTCATCAATACATAGGACTTACATATAAGATTTAACTTGTGATTACAATCCCATAATAATATAAAGACAAGATCATGAATTGATGGGACTACTCCATCATATATATTAATTTGATCAATCAAAATACTCCACATCAAATATAATGTGCTGTTTAATTTTTTTATTTAAATTTTTCAAAATTTTATTTTTAATTTCACAAATTTCTTAATTTCTATAACTAATTATTCAAAAATTTCAAATACCACATCGTTCATATTCTAATTAGTTTAACAAAAAAAAGAAGGGAAATAATACAGAAGTCTCACGTGTAGATTCTAATTTCTAAAAGTGTCATGAAATGTCTAACCCCAAAATCCCGATGATGTGATTAGTTTTTAAAGTTGATTTACCAAAATATCCTTGTTCCTTCTGCAACTTCTCTCTCTCCTTCCAACCTTCGCACCCACAACCCTTTTTATCTCCCAATTAGTATCCCGGCACCTTCTCTGTCAAAGGTTGTGGCGGCACCAGCTCTGGAGATCAAACCTCAGCATAGTTGCCTCCAACAGCGACTCTAGTAAGATGCACTCTCTCCAGATTTTCCTCTTTCTTGTGGCGGTGATAGAAGGAGTACTAACACCGCCGCCGCCACTTCTCCTTCCTCTACCACCCATAATAGCCGATGATAAGTCTCCTAGCAATTACAGTACTGAGATGAAGGAGGGAGAAAAGAGAAAATAAATAACACTCATCGAAGAGAGAGATAGATAATGCTGATTCCTTATGTCCATGCAAGCACTCTTCAATTATAGATGAAGATGGTGGTGGGTGCGCTTCTGACGAGGTTCTTGGTGGTTTTAGTTATGGCGGGAGTTGGAGGCGCTTCGAAGGAATAAGAATATTTTTGCAAATCAACATTAAAAATTAATTACAATTAAAGTCTTTCAGATTTTGGAGTCATTTAGACATTTCAAGTGGTTTTTTTTAAATAAAAAAATTAGAATATTTGAATGTGATTTCAATATGATTTTTTTTTCAAAAAAAAAAAAAAATCTCTAAATTCTAACCGTACATAATGGGTTCACATGTTTTATGCGACTACAACTTTTTTTAGATTTTATCTTTCTCTTAATAACTTTAATTTTACATTTTCTTCCTCTCCCCTTATACAATACATTCTTTATCTATTTAATTTTTTTCCAATTTTTTTATCTTGCAAATTCATTAATTTCAAACTGAGCAAGAGAAAATACAATTTTTCTTCTACTTCTCTTTCTTCTAATCACAGCATGCCCACATATTATGCGCGTGCAGATTTTGTCGCTTTCCTATCAACTTCAACGCTATGTTTTCTCTTCCCTTTATTAAAAATACATCATTTCCCGGTTTTATTTAATTTTGATTGTTTCTTTTTATTTTACAAATTTATTATTCCCTATTAAATAGTTATTCAACAATTACAACATAAAAATTTTTATTTCTATAATAAATCTTTTATAACCATGGCATGTCAAGGGTAGTTTATGATTTCCCTAATTTTTTTTATTTAAAAATTTTAGAAAAAAACAAATAAAAATAAATTTTTATTTTTTAATTCTCTTATCCTATCAATGTAAAAGACATGATTTCCATCGACTTTCTCGTGTCCAGGTTTTGTACCTAGAGGCATTGGTGAACTTGAGAACCTTAATCTCTTAGACTTGAGCCAAAATTATTTGAAAGGAGCAATTCCTTCCAATATATTCAATATTTCCACGTTGACACTTTTGAACCTTGGTGGTAATTTCCTCTACAGCACTCTCCCATCATATTTAGGAATTGGCATTCCCAACTTGAGGTAATTATTACTGGAAGCAAATGAACTGATTGGACAAATTCCAAGTAGCATATCAAATGCTTCTAAGCTCATAACGTTAGATTTGTCATTGAATAAATTTAGCGGAGCTATACCCAATGTACTTGGACATTTAACAAACTTGATGGAATTAGATTTGTATGGAATGATTTGAGTGGGTTAATTCCTGATACAGTTAACAAATTACATGGTCTTCAATGTTTAAGCCTCAGTAGCAACAGATTGTATGGGTCCATCATAAATGAACTTTGCCAACTCAAAAGTCCAAGTGAGTTGTATCTTGCCAACAACATGTTTTATGGAGTGGTTCTAGGATGCCTTGGGAATACTTCTCTACGGAAGTTGGATTTGAGCTCTAACAAATTGATTTCTCATATTCGCTCTTCTCTTTGGAGTCTCAAAGATATCTTGGTCTTAGACATATCCTCCAATGCATTGAGTGGAATAATTTCACCAGAAGTATCAAACTTGAGAACAATTATACTATTGAACTTGTCAAGAAATCAAATTTTAGGAAGCATCCCTACAATGATGAGTAGCTTGCAAACTTTGCAAACCCTATCTTTGGCCCAAAACAAATTACAAGGGAACATTCTTGAATTGCTTGGTGGCATGATAAGTATGAAATCTTTGGATCTTTCCCATAATTATTTGTCTGGTGTGATTCCAAAATCCTTAGAGTTATTAATCCATCTTCAACACATTAATGTTTCTTATAATTTATTGCATGGAGAAATTCCAAGTGGGGGCCTTTTCAAAATTTCACTGCTGAATCTTTTATAATGAATAATGATCTTTGTGGGCAGTCACAATTTCAAGTTCACCCATATAGGAAAGAACACAAGCACATGTCAAATAAATTGAAGCTAGTGATAAAGTGCTCATTGCCTATCATATACATGGTTGTCATTTTGGTTGTTTCAGGCATTGTCTTTCTAAAGTGTAAGAGAGATCATATTAATGATTCAACCAAGAGGGATTTAATAAATTTTGAGACATCAATTAGGATATCCTATTATGAGCTTTGGCAAGGAACAAATGGATTTAATGAGAGTAATCTTCTGGGCTTTGGAAGTTTTGGATTAGTATACAAAGCAACTCTTTCAAACTCAAAAATAGTTGCTGTCAAAGTATTTAAGTTAGAAATGGAAGAAGCATTAAGAAGCTTTGATATTGAATGTGCTACCATGTGCAATTTATGCCATCACAATCTCATTAAGGTCATTAGTTGTTGCTCAAATGATCATTTCAAATCTCTGATAATGGAATTCATGGAAAATGGGACTCTAGACAAATGGTTATACTCTCATAACTATTATTTAAATGTCTTGCAAAGGTTGAACATAATGATTGATGTGGCAGTTACTTTGGAGTATCTTCATCACGGTTGTTCAACACTAGTTGTTTATTGTGATGTGAAACCAAACAATGTTTTATTGGATGAAGATATGGCAGCTCATCTTAGTGATTTTGGTATTGCTAAATTTTTTGGTGAAGGACAACCAGAAATTTATACCAAACTTTGGCTACAATTGGCTTATAGCACCAGGTAATGGTTTAATAATATTTTTTGGATTTATTTATACGTTCTTTTATTTGTTATGCTTTATAAAATTTTATATTATATGATTTGTATATCTTCATGTGTAAATATTTGGATTGATGATACAAAAGTAAAGTTTAACCACATCTTATATACTGTTTTTTTGAAATCATGACTTTTATACTAATTGTTGAAATTGGCATAACAAAGTATGGATCAAAAGGAGTTGTTTCTATCAAAGGAGACGTGTATAGTTATGGAATTTGCTAATGGAAATCTTTACAAGGAAGAAGTCGATAGATGAGATGTTTGTTGAAGGATTGAGTTTGAAAGATTGGGTGAGAAAATCAACACCACATTCAATCATCAGCATTATAGATGCCAATTTGCTTCACAATGAAAATCAAAATACTAGTAATATATTACCACATATATTATTAGTTTTTGAGTTAGCATTAAATTGTTGCATTGATTTGCCTGAGGCACGACTTACTATGACTGATGTTGTAGCATTATTGAAAAAAATCAAGGCTTTGTTTCAAGAAAATGTTAGGGACCCTACTAGTTGAATAATAGGTAAATCAAATTTTAGCTATTGTTTCTTTAGCCCTTAGATTTCTTTTTGGAACAAGTAATCTTGTAAATTGGAGTAACTCCATGCGCTGTAATAATATGTAAAGTATTTGAAATTTTCTTGATTATAAGACTTTAGGATTTCTTCATGTCATTTCTTTTCTCTTTTAACATTTTGGTTTTGAATACTTAATACCTTAAAGTCCATTCATTTTCTTCAAGTAATTTTATACAGTTTGGGTTTGATTTTATAAGAAAATGTTTTGTAAATTAATCTAAGTGAGCCCTACATTTTTCTTATTCTTCTCTATGTGTCCTTTGTTTATATTTTTGGAAACATATCTTGTTATTAGAGGAAAACCCATTTAAATTTTATTATGTTGGAGTAATTAAATAATTTTTTTTTCTGTCATCCCTTCAAGATTTGAGTCACACATTCTCCAAATGTCTTTTTATAAGATATAGATTTAGATATATATATATATATATATGTTGTGAATACCTAAATGTTTTTTGTAAGGACCTGGTTGGCCATTGAAGAATACTCTCCCCATATTGGGATATGCACTATTGAGCGTCATTCCATTATGCAAGTCTTTCTTCCTCATCTTGTTTGAAGTTAACTGGAAAGTAATTATTAGGTCCTAACAATAGCAACTATAGAAGAGACCATCAATGGAGGCTTCAAGCTATGACTTCACATTTATGAAAATTTGTATATCTATGACAAACTTGATTTAAAAATTTATTACTAATGCAATTCAACTCAATTAAATCAATCTTGTGTATGTTTACCATATTTGCTAAAAATTACAAATTAAATCAATTCAAACCATCCAAAAATGCTTGTCAGCCCTACTTTGAATATCCAAAATGGACCTGCAAATTTGGTATTCACCATACCTATAAAAACTTGAAACAAAATATGACCCCTTATATCACAATGGCATACCAATGTCAACCTATGCAACTTCAAGCCTCCCAAAATCACCCAATGCTTCTCCAATTCTCTATTCCCTTCTTTAGTTATTTACACCATTTGATATCACATAAACCAAATTGCAATGTAAACATAATAGCTAGGGTTAAAAAATGAATTTGCCCCTAAATGCTAGACACTCTCAAGTCAAGGGTGACATAATGTTACCTCTTATGTATTAATAATAGAGCAATGTCACCCCTCCATTCAATATTCATTAATTTGACCATTAATTGACCTAAAATATTACATAGAAAGTCTAGAAAAAATATAGAAAATAATCAAAAATTATAGGAAAGGCTATCATACTAATTAAGTCCCACAAATTACAAATAATTAAATCCCAGTAGATTAACATTATTTCTTACCCATATAAAATACAAAAAAAATTACGATTTTAACAAACTACTTTGACCAGCTACCCAGTGGTTATTAGATCACTAATATGGTAAACACTGATATGTAATTAAAAAGATATTATATCTATTTTAATGACATGCTATTAAAATATTATATATTTTAATATTTAATAATTTAAATATTATTATTTATAAACTATTCCTCTAAAAATTTATAAAAAGAGAATCTCATCTAGGGCCCCAAGCACGAAAAAATTGCACCTAGGACCCAAAGCATTCTAAATTTATTCTATAGACCCCATGACTCTTTTTGCAATATGTTTTAGGGAGAAAAGACACAATTGCCATTAGCGAGAAAGAAAGAACTTTAGGTTCACTACCAGGAACAATTACTTATTAATATGTGAACTTAAAGTTGTGAATTTGAGAATATCTATTTGTAAAAATCTGAACTTGCTATAATAATGAAATTTAGTTTTGAATATATGAAGTCATAAATGTTACTTTGATTTGTGAGTAGATCAACTTTTACTTGTGAATATTCAAATTTTAAATTGTAAATTTATTAAGTTAGCCAAGACAAACTTGTCAATTAACCTTGAACAAGAATTTCATTACAATAAACAATTACTTGTTAATATGTGAACCTAAATTTGTGAATTGGTGAATATGTAGTTGTAAAAATCTAAACTTGCTATCACTATAAACCTTAGTTTTGAATACGTGAAGTCATAAATTTTGGACATTGACTTTGTGAATAGATGAACCTATACTTGTAAATATTAAAAATTTTAAGTTCTAAATTTATTACATGGGCCAAGACGAACATATTAACTCTAAACAAGAATTTCACTTCCAATGAATAATTACTTGTTACTATGTGAACCTAAAGTTGTGAATTCATGAACATGTAGTTGTAAAAATATAAACTTGTACTTGTTGCCTTTTTCACGAAGGGCAATTGTTCCTTTGACCATAAAACATATTTTTCAAAGGGCCCTTCAACCTACATAATTATTTTAGAATAAATTTGGGTTCTAAATGCATTGTTTCTCACTTAGGGGCCCTAGATGAGATTCTCCCATTTATAAATCCTCATATAAAAATTAGTTCAACTAGTATTTCTAAAATTTATAAGTGAATGTGTTTTTCATCCTAATTGAATGTAAATTAAAATAATGTGATAAATTATAAGTCATCCTTCAAAATTTATAAGTCCTCTTTTAGAAATTTGTATATCTTCTTCAAGTTGACTTGAAAATTATGTGTAAAATTTTTTTAAGTAATAATACTATTTAAATTATTAAATATATTTATAATATTTTAGTAAGATGTTATTAAAAAAATCTATATTTTTTATTACTATCTATTTGTTGGCTTTTGTATTTTACAGTAACTTTATAAATTCATAAACTAAACCTTTGACAATATCATATTTAGGTGATCCTTGGCTCAATTGAAAGCTTTAGAAACCATCTTCAAGGAAAGAAATTTATCTAAAATTTTCTAATACAATTTTGCCAAAAAGACAAATACCACTTTATAAAACACAAGGTTTATTTGATTGGAAATGATTACTAGTTTGGAAACTCATTCTACCAACCATGACCTTAATTTATATTTCTCAAAGCATATTTTACATCATAGAAATACTTAATGATATGTTTGGATCAATGGTGATTTTATTTGGACTTGGACCTGAAGAAAACAGAGTGCAGAAACGTACCTTTGTGGACTCCGATTATGGTAACTCTAATAGCAATGCTCGGCCTTGTTTCTGCCTCACGGTAACTTGACCATAATGATGGATTTGGATGTTTGATACATAGTAGACGCACTGAAACTTTCTTCAGAGTGAAGAGGGAGAGAGGTAGATTGAGAGAACACTCTTGTTTTTACTTTTCTAGAGAGGAGAGTAAAACTAAAATAATTGTATGTTATATTAAATTACCCAATATCTTACTCATAGATAATGGGTAGTTATTTTGTTTATTTAAAACAAATAACTACCCCCTCGAAAATACTCCGATAACCAACCATAAGATAATGAAAAATAATTATTTAACCTAACTTGGGCCCCCATTTACTTGGCCCATTCATCAAGGGTGCAACCCAACATCTCCCACTCACACTTGATGAATTCTTTCTCACGTTCATAGTAGGTGCTCCATTATGACCATATGGGCACGACGTCTTTCTTTGAGCGTTCTTATACTAGAAATCCTTTATAGATTAGCACAAAATAACTCCTCTATTGATTTGCTCTTGTATTAATAATGTGCCTTATATGTCCTAGCTTTACTTATATGCAATTTTCTCATGGCCAATCTAATCTCAATTAACTCAGTATAAGACTCAAATTGCTTTTCTCGTATGCACAATGTCTACAATTATGAAGTCCACATAATGATATCATAAGGGATATGTCTCAGACACTAGCATAAGTGTGTATATATCAAGTAATTAGTCTTCTTTTTCCTAAATATCACTTTGATAAGAAATAGTTGCTTTCCTAGCACATCACCTTCAAATCACATCTATCATGATCATAGGATATATGCTAAAGTCGTGGGTACTATAACTTACCTCCATGATATTATTAAAGTCAAATGACATCAATGAAATGATTATTTCATCCTGGGACTCACACAATAATAAAGAAGGGATTTATTTACTTGTTTCCCAGTAGTGATTCTTAAGCACATGTGCTATTAATCACTTGCTATAGTGTTACTCTTATCTTATATGACTATGTATCATTTTGCTTTTATCATTAATGTTGTATAGACTTAAGTTTAGACACACACAATATTTAACCTAAATTCTTCTACTCATCTCACATGACATTAAACTTGAAGGATTTATTGTTTGGCTACAAGTATCATAGATATGGGAATCCATGATTTAATCTATATATATATATATAAAGATCTCATCTCAACATACTCCTTATTTTATGTTGAGGTGATATATAGTTTGCATTTTTTCTCTACCATATCAACACTCTACTGCCTTACTAGTGAACACAGATATCTTAACCTTGTTCATTCCTCTTGAGAATCAAACGTAGTTGCTCATTTGAGGGAGCCAACCTTCCCT